TGTCATTTTTCAGCGTCGTAGAGAAACAGTCTGAAATTTATGGAAGTATTGTAAAAAAATCTATTGGCCAATAGCATTTTCAGCTATTCTTCCTCGGTCTAGGTCAAAACAGATTTTTCCCTGGTCTAATTCCACTTTAAAAACAAATCACCAATTTTACTTGTACAACATAAAACTATTTAATAATAATGATTTGGTATTATTTATAAATGTTACAAAGTTGCACGATATGTACCAAGAAATCTAATATAAACATTATTCACATATAATATTACATTAATTCACATTAGATTTCATTAGGGAAATTCAAATATAAATAAATAACGAAAAAAAATGTTTTCAAGCTCACAAGTACGAGATTTATGTTTAAGTCCCAAGATTCATTTAAGTTCATGCATATTGTACCGTTTTAAGGCACTTATTACTATTCTTAACTATTTACGTTTTATGTTATTATAGTGGGCTCCACCAAATGTCCTAGGACCAGGTGCTTGTCTTTTGAACATTTTCTACAATTAACAAAGAAATGAAGTGGGATCACCGATTATAATGATTTTTTATATGTTTATATGTAGGTGACAAATATTATACTTCCGTTTTAGGAGCCAGAAAAAAAATGTTTTGAAAAAATTTTAGTAAGTGTTTGTGTAATTTCAAAGTTATTATAACATCAGTCGAGTCGTTTTTTGTCGTAGGATGAGAAAATAATTTAACGATTCGTACAAAATAAAAAGATATTTTTTAAATAAAAATATTTACTTTTTGCCAAATGTCTCGAATTTTTGGAAAAACATAAAAATAGTGTTAACTTTAAAACGATTACACCAATCCACAGGAAACTTTACTGGGCTAAGAAGCCCATAACCTCGAATTACAAAAATAATTCCGAACCAGAGATAAAAACTAAAAAGTTTGTGTCAAAAAAGTTGAGCATTTTTATTGATTTAATTATTATTGATATAATTTATAATGACATAAAATCTAAACGTTGTTCGCCTTGGCTGAATAAGTCTCAAAGTAATCTATGGCATACAAACACTGGCAAATCTATATGCAAAACACATCAGGGGCCTGTGTAGTTCCTACCTCCATAGGAAATATAAGAAGAAACGAAAAAAAGCTCATTTAGACTCCAGAAACAGCCAAATTGGATGGGAACTAAATACCGGTCGCACAACAATTATTGATAAAATCAGACACTTATTCCTAGAAATGGGGACTGGCTATATAATCCCGGAAACCATCTTTACTATACACTACAAAAAAGAAGAATACAGGAGGAAATCAGACACAATGATGTGTTATACAGATGGCTTCAATGCGCATGAAGGAACCGGATCGGTCGTTTTCTGTACAAGCCCAAAATATGAGCAATCGAACTCATTTGAGAAGACCACCTCGGTATTTCAAGCTGAAATACTTGCCACCGTCTTAAAAGTGGCAACACTGACAAAAAATTGGCTTCACAAACTCACTGCTACAGATAGATAGGGTTAAAAATAATTTGTTAGAAAAATCAAAAAATGTTTTTCTCTCAAATTTTTCGCGTAACAAAATGTCGTCCGATATTAATATAAAAATCGCCTAAATAACAAATTAGAGATAACTTTGATACGACTCTACCGATCAACAAGAAACTTTACATGGGTTTAGAACCTTATAAACTAAACGTGGTGCCACCGTAAAACTGGATATAAAAAAATTTGATAAGTTGATTTCATCTTATTATTCTCACTTATACTCGCATACAACCTAACAATTATAGCCTTAAATGACTTATTTTACTTTACAGCGGTTATAATAATGATGAATGTGGATAAAACCTCCACGATTTATGCTTTTTATTTGAAACATCGGATATCACAATTTGACTTTTTAAGATCCCTTTGAATTTTAACTTTTTAAGCTTAACCGAATATTTTTACCACCGTTTTATTCTTACATTTTTCAAATTTGTTTAAATATAAATTTATCACTTCTGAAAACTTAGAGCATTGTCGGCCGAGGTTTTGTCGATGAAGATTATCCCCGTGAGCGGTCGTGCTCAGGGAGCATAAAAGTACTATGCCACCCTTTCTATAAACCCTAAAATTAGGGTTAGTGTATTATAATAGGCATGGCATGTCACACTTTTCACCCCGGGTAGACCGTTTACCGTGTAAACCTCGTTTACGTACTACCAGGCGTTTAATTTAGTTCCAATTAATTAATCCTTCACGCTAATCTTAAATCAATCATTATAAAAAGAAGGTTCAGAAGACCCTTAAACCTGTACGGACTAAATCAATTGTGGCTTGCTTCTACTCGGGTGTTGATAGTTTAGCTCTGTTTAAGTGTCTTTCAAAAAGAAAAGCTGAAGAAACGATTTAACTAGTCGTTCCAAACATGGTAGGGAGCTAACCGTTTATTGCTCACTTTATGATCCGGTGCATCCGTGCGAAAATACCGTTGGGCAGATGACCGCCGCGTTCGTTTAGGTAAATGTTCAAATTATATATAAATATAATATATATAAAATGTTATTATATATAAAATAGATACAGCATAAGGCAGTGTTGTCTGCTTGAATTACATCATTATTGATTTAATAATATAATTAATTTTTGTAAGCAATAATTGTAGTAGGTAAAAATTATATTTAATGATAGTTCTGATTACTGATTTATATAATCTGCTTAGTCACAAACGCACGTGTCAGCGTTGAGCATATCACTTCTCCCAGTCCACCGGCAATTACTTTTGTAATTTACAATAAATCACCTGCAGGCCTCGAGAATCACCCTCCTAGGGTGGTTGGCAGTCGGTCTTACAGTTTAGCCGGAGAGGTTGGGCCAGGGACTATTAACAACTAGGTCATTACAGTCCCCAACTTAGCCAGTCTCCCATTGACACTCTCACTCACTCAGTGGTGGTGTATACGATATTCCTACATCACCCTTTACACCTATTATATAACTAAACTAATTGAGGGTCGATGGGTACTTAATATTCCGCCATAAACCCTCTCATACCACACATTCACGCTAATAAATACATTCACCATAGGAATACAAAACTAATCAGACCTACATAGAATCAAATAACCCTTTCCTCCAAAAATCGGAACAGGGGACCCACTCACTGCCATGCTCTAACTCATTCTCATACGCGCTCTCTATATTGGGCCTAGGAATTGCACTCTTCAATTAGTGGGACACATCGAAGAACCTTCCTCTAAATCCTGGATACATAAAAATAAAACAGACAAAACACAGAATAGTGTTTCTAATTGGATTTAAAAAAATCTAATAAAAGTCTATCTCTTCTTTGTTGGTTTTTCTGTAAAGTTTCTTCCAAACGTTCCAGTAGTTTGATTTTTTAAAATCGTACCATTTTTAAGTTTCAAATTTGCTTAAGTCTTTAAGTGAGACAGATTCTGCTAAAATGATATTGTTGAATTGTTGAAAGATGGAAGAAGCGTATATGGCCAGGGTTCTTAACATTCCCAGAACAACTGTCAGAAGGGTATTCCATACCAAGATACAGGAGGTTTCTCAAGAATTTTTTCCTAAAAAAACTATGACCTTTGTCAATTCTATTTAGCGTATTCGTAGCTCAAAATTTTCGAAATGTTTCAAGTGCCACCAGTTTTCTTGGTTTCGAGTGGGCTATTCGAAAGCGTAAACCCCTGGGATGAATGACATGGTCTCGTCGAGTCGAGTGGCTCGCATAACACAATGAACGTCCGAGCACGCACACCCACCCCCAAAAAAGGCATTATACGCCTCTGTATCACTTATCTCGACGACTCTCATTTGACGGATAAGTGCCTATAGGGACGATCTGGCAAAAGGCAATTTTTTACAAGCCTATCGTAAAAATAAGTCCAAAGTGGTTTCTTTTAACTCGCCACAAACGCTGACCTTCAAGTGATAAGGGAGAAATCAAAATATCCAGAAGAGAACAATATCTGGGTAGGACAGGAAATTAATTATTACATTAGCATATCTATCTTTACATTAACATATCCTACAATTTATTTATACGACTGTATAACAAAAACTAATAAAAATTCGCCATCTTATGTAAAAATTGTAAGTGCTGATTGAAAAAATTTACATTAAAACAAAATTTACTTAAATATACGACGGTCAAACTAAAAATAGTAAAATAACTAATAAGGTGAAAAAAATATAATAGTGAGTGTAATACAAACCCACAACAGCGGCTACAACATAAAACAACACCTCAAAAACAAACAATCACTAAAATATAGAAAAAAGTCGTACAAACTAAACGATTTATTGAATAAATTAAACATAGAAACTGTACAAAAGACAAAAAGTTAATAATGTGTAAATAAATATATTTAAAAAGAAAATCCAAATTTTGGAGGACAGCCACTATTCTTTGAAAAAAGTACAATTTGATTTGGAATAAGTACGTTAAATTTGAAATGGAGAAGTTTAATTTGATCTAGGAAAAGTACAAATAAATTGAAAAATAGGTAAATTTTAAAGTAACAGTTAAATTTTATTTGACAAAAATTTCGTTTGATTTCGGTAAAGTGGAATCAATTTTTTGAGTAAAAATTAGGTTAGTTAAATTAGGCGAAAGTTCAATTCGGTTTTGGAAAAAGTTTAATTTCATTTCTGATAAGTCCAATAAATTTAAGAAAAAGATCAATTTTTTGAATAAAAATTAGGTTAGTTAAATTAGGACAAAGTTCAATTTGATTTGGAAAAAATTTTATTTTATTTCGGCAAAGTCCAATCAATTTAAGAAACATATCAATTTTTTTGAATAAATTAGGTTAATTAAATTAGGAAAAACCTCAATTTGATAAGTAAAAAAAGTTTAATTTGAGTTCGGTAAAGTCCAATCAATTTAAGAAAAAGATTAATTGTTTGAATAAAAATTAAGTTAATAGTCCTAATTAAAATAGGAAAAAGTTCAATTTGTTATTATTCTATATTGGCAATGAAAAAAACTTGTTTTAATTTATAATTAATTTGTTCCAGAATGAAACTGAGGGAGGTGGCGGAAGGTAGCAAGATCTTGCTCGGCGTGTTTATCGACGAAGACCTGGTAGACTGCGAGCTTCGTCGCAACAGCCGCGAAGCATCAAATTTGCGCTTGGAGGTCCAAGCCGCGAGGGACGATAACGCTACTTATTTAGACTTAAACCACTTAAATCGTGGGCCGGAGTTATCCTGGCTCAACTTCAGCGCATTCGCCAGGGACTGTAGGAAGAAGCAGAAGGCCCAAACGAAGACTAACAGCAGGAGAAGGTAAACGAGACAGTTATTATGATCCATTTGGCTCGCAAGTGGCTAAGTATATAACACAATTGAAAATTAAAGGGTCATCCAATTTTACAATTTGGGCTTTATTCAAACCGTCAGTGGATATACATCTAAAAAATCAAAACCATCATAACACATCAACATTATATAACTTTCCTTTGAGTGTTTTGACAAGTATTAAATTTTAAATTCTTTTTCGTTAAGAAATTTTGGAATTGCGCCACTTGTAAACCAATGAAAATCATTCTATTGTTAAAAAATAAATTGGAAGTTATGCTATTTGCGACTCTTAATACAGTAGTTGTGCCTTTCGATTGGTATTCGAACAGCTTGCAACATCTTGAATTAAATCATTGCGACTCGTTCATTAAACGAAACATGTAATAAAAGTGACATAACTCTATAATTATCATTGATGAAGTACGTTGGATTGAAATCAAGGAAACCAATAAAGGACATGTAATTCGTACAATTGACCTTCAGCCCTTCCTAGGAAATGAGAATTAAATTCAGCACTGATCCAAATCCATTTTAATTTAAATTCAAATTCAGTTTTAGTCCCGTGACAGATCGCGGGCCTTGAACGGTTTCGCGGACGGCCGACGATCCGTTCGTTACACAACCGTCTCAAGCGTTCATCAATTAGCCCATGTAGTCGACTATGTTACAGAATCGCTTAATCAACTCAATCGTTGCCACGTGACGTTTTTCTGTTTGTTCAAACAATCAAAGACTACGTGAAAAAATGATCAGTCGTGATAAACAGCAACGTTCTACATTTTGGAATAAAAATCATCACTACTTTACCGAATTAATCCACTATTCAATCACAAGTTAAAACACAAGCTGGTTATGTTTCGGTAAGGCTAGTGATTTTTCTCGTTGATTAACTGAACTGAAACATACATAGTCATATCCTTGAAGGTTGAAAAGACGAAAACATCGAGATTCCATGTGACTCAGATGATGATACATTGTTGAAACGTCCTATTACACACTAATACATCCACTACACATGTAAAAATCTTTAGACATATTCGCCTTTTCAAAGCCAAGTTCAACAATTCCACAAATAAAACTGAAATTTTTTCAAACATAAATCCTATATGTATGTGCAAACCTAAATTCAACCTTTTTTAAATCAATTGTTTTTTCTGTCTGCAATTCAATTTTAAATCGAAATAAAAAATATCAAGTTTTATGTATAATATAACAAAATTGTTTAGATTCTTAAGTTAAAAGTATAACATCTTACAAGTTAAACTAAATAAAACTTGAAAAACTTAAAACTACAATATATAAAAACGTCCTATAGAAAAAGATATAAAACAAAATCTTTTTCTGTGTTAAAAATAATAATAATGTAAAGCCACTGGCATCTGAAAGATATTAACCATTACTTATTAGGTAGTTTTGATGTATTTTACGTTTTTTAATTTACCCCTACTTTTGAAGGTTAAAATGTTTTACATTCTATTTACGTATGAATATTTTCAATTTGGTTTTAAATTGAGTTCAATTTCATTAGAAAAAAATCAAGTTGATTAATAGTTTTAAGTTAAGGATCAATTTAATTGGAAAACTTATCATTTGATTGAAAAAAGTACAATATATAGAAAGTTCAATTCGATTAGGAAAAAATATAATTTTCTTGCAAAAATGTGCAAATTAGTTCGAAAAAGTACAATTTGGTTTAGAAAAATTTCTATTTGATTTGACAAATCGTAGAAATTTGAAAATTTTTAATCTGATTTAGAAAAATTTCACACTTTATCATAAAAAATCCCAATTTAAAGTTAATGAGTGCGATTTGCTTAAAAATCTGTATATAATATTCTTTATAAAAAATGTTATTTGGTTAGACTGAACATTCAATGAAACAAAATTCTACTAAAAAATGTATAATTTCTGTCGTGAAAATAAAATTAAAACTGTATTACGTATTATATATATATTATTGTCCTACAAAATCTCATAGATAAGAATGCTTCATATAATAGTTAATAACGTTTTATTCCAAATTTATTAACCCAGTTCTGCAATGCATATCCTTGGTTAGAGGATAATGCGAAGGATGAAAACCACGAGATTCATTGTGACTCACAAGGCTGGTGATTGATAGTTGAAACGTGTCATTACACTACACACACTCACATTTGCCTAGTAATAATAAAATTTTCATAATTTCTAGAAACCTAAACTACTTACTAAAAAAGTTCTTAAGTCAACTTTTAATGGAGGGATCAGGAAAAAAACTATAACAAAAGGTAGCGGGAAAATTTGCAGTACTTGGGGGTTTTCAAGGGATTTTTTTATCTTCAATCAACAATCATAATGAAAAAATCATGGTTTAACGAACATCATTCATGTTTTTTATATTCATCATCGTGGTCGTTATTGTCATCATGGTAATCATTACGAGGGCTTCAAATCTGTGGCCTGAAGTAGTTCAATGTCGATTAAAAGCGTTTTCAGGTTAATTTTGAACACAGCTCCGACATGAGAGCTTAAGGTTCTGTAGGCGTGGCCGATATTTCATTCCCGGGTATGAAATTAGCCGGCCTTGTGCGGCAATTTGACGAATAAGTCTTCCGGTGACGAATCAATTTCCTGGGCTTAAATTCCGAACAATTAAGTTAAATGCCGGCGTCTCGAGGTTGGACAATTTTGAAATTGATGGCGTCAGAGGAGAAAGATCTAGGGGTGCAGGGCATAAAATATAAAATTATGTGTTCTTTTTGTCCTCAATAATTTATTAATATCACCTTCTGTGTTGTTTCATTACCTTGAAAGATTAATAATATATAAAATTTGCTTGAAGGAATTCCATTTATTAATTTTTTAGTAAAAAATCTGTGAAAATAACTTCAATACTGATTATCCGTCCAGCAACAGACTCACAGCAGGGTTGAACTTTCCATTTTAACAAATCACGAGATATATTTTCCGAAAAAAAGAATTATTTTTAGTTTCTGTTGTCTTTTTGGTTGTTTCTGAGAATTATATCGAACTAAAAACATTGTTTATTTTTACAAATAAATATGAGGCTTGTGAGATGTTGGGACTTCTTTTTTATCCCACCATTGAAGTCACTCGTTGTACTTTTCTTCTGCCTTAAGGGCTATTCTTTGGATCCATCAAAGATCCGAAAGTCCTCAAAATCGAGTAATTAAGTTTGATCTGGAATGCGATAAGCCCGGCTGAGTTGCACAACTTGGTTAAATAATATTGTTAATTACCATATTGATATATTTTAACCACCTCCCAGAGGTCTTTTATTTCAGTCGGTTCTTTTATTAATCTCCGACTAACCCGAAGGGTCTTTTCGTTTTGTTCTATCTGGTAATTTTTCATATTTTTTTAGGCGTTCCTTGCTTTCCAATAAGCCGAGACGGCATAGCCGGAGCAAAGTGTTGTACAGAACGAGACACGACGATATCGCAATGAACAGGTAACTTTTTAAATATATATATAATTCAATTAATTAATCTTTATGTAAGGTATTGGTTGAGATAAAAAAGTCAGTGTCACGAGCGGGATTCGAACCCACGACTTTCGGTTAAATACGCCGCTACTCTACCACTTGAGCTATTGTGACACTCAAGTGGTAGATCAGCCGCGTATTTAGCCGAAAGTCGTGGGTTCGAATCCCGCTCGTGACACTGACTTTTTATCTCAACCAATACCTTACATAAAGATTAATTAATTGAAAGATGTTATTTGGTCAATCGGACCACGAAATCTAATGTATATATACANTATATATATATAATTACCTTCTGAGTAAGGTTAGTCTATCGATTCATTTAGTTCAACAAAATTTAAAACTGTTTAAATAATCTTTAATTATTCGGAATAAACATTAAATAAACTGAGTTCACTAGGAGCACTCTTATCCAATCTGATCTTTAACTGCTGCCTTTACTAAAAGATACTGATAGCTGTGAAGTATATTTACATTTATATATTTATTTTTTGTAAAATGAGTACGTTTTTTACTCTAGATATCACATTAAGCAAAACCTGATTACACCTGGGACGAAATGGTGCGGTCCGAACAACCAAGCGAAAAAGTACACGGATCTCGGCGGTTTCTGGAAGGCCGACAAGTGCTGCAGGAAGCACGACACCTGCGACCAGAGCATCGGCCCTTTCAGCGTCAAATACTCCCTGCCCAACGGAGGCCCTTTTACCATGAGCCACTGCAGCTGCGATAAAAGGTTAGTTTCGACAAAAACAAATTTACAATAACGTTGAAATAGGAGAAAACGTGGAAAAATTAGAAGAGGACGTATATTGGTCGGTGTAGTATTTCAATAGGAATCGTTCAATTACCTGCTTCGTGTTTCTGCTTTTCTAATTTCATTTCAAATTATTATTTTTTAAATTTAACTGATCGACACTGATAACTTAAGGTCCGTCTTTTATCCATGATTTTTTGTTCTTAGTGTTTTATAGTTGAAGATTAGATTTTGGAATACCTGCAACAGTTTTTATTCAGGGGCATGTTTGTAAATTGGCTGCTCTTATTTTCAATTTTTGGGTCTGTTTGTCTGCAATATTAAAAAAAGATAAATTATTATTTCTAAACAGATGAAGAAGAATTTGAGCCAAGTGACATAACAATTATGGGTTTTTGGTCAAAATCCATCGTAATTTTTATATTCTAGAAGAATATACAGCGAAATATACGAAAGATTCAGCGGCTTTAGTTCAAAAAATGCCTCCACTACTGGGAAGATTTGATACCCTGAAAATGAATAAAATGTGTAAGCTTCATTAATAGTATATTCCAGATAATCAGTTTTCAATTATGAACTATTTCTAATTTTATCATTTAAAAACTCTTACAAAATATAATGTAACGAGGTAAAAGAAAATCTTTAAAAGTCCCACTGTAAAATTCCTCAGTTATTATCATTAAAAACATTCCCATTTGTTTTTAAAGTTATTACTTTGTCTCTTCCTCCTGGCCGATCGACATTCCAGCCTTGTCGCAGGACACCGCTATTAAAGACACGCATAGATTGCCCCGGCTTATTTAAATATAGATTTAATAACTGTGTCACTTTCGGACACAAGTCAAAATTTATGTACTGGCCGAGAGAAATAACAATCAGCCGACTTATGGCTTGTTTTTTTATTAAATCTGCTTCAATTTCTATAAGAGGCAAATGTTATGATTAAGTAACGAAAATCATGAAAATTTATATTAATATAAGTTAAAATTATTATCCATTTTGTGTGGTGATTAGTGACCGTTAATCGATAATTATTCAGAAATCGTGAGATGCGGTCTGGTGTGATGTAGGTTTCAGAAAAACATTTTCTTTATCGTGCNCACTTTGAGCCCTGAAGATGATCTCAATAAAGATCGAAACGTTGGCACGATAAAGAAAATGTTTTTCTGAAACCTACATCACACCAGGCCGCATCTCACGAATTCTGAATAATTATCCATTATCTTTTTATATGTCAAGAATTAAGTCTGGACCAGTGTTTACAGCCATACTGCCTCTCCGAATCTGCCTTTTTAACCCAATCAGAGAATAAAATATTAATACACATAGAAACTAATATAAAGCAAATGAATGATTATGAGCTCATTTATGGAGTAAATAAAGCTAAGATGGATTTTAATGTTTCAAAACCAAGGAGTGGGCGATTTTTTAGGAATGTTAGAAGAAATGTGCAAAAATCTCTGTGACTGCTAAAAAAACATATAAAAATATACTGATTATAGTTTTTACAATATTTATCCCTCTTCATAAAAAGATAGTTCCAACTCACAGTTCGGGTTGTTTAGTTTTTTAGGGTAGTAGTTGCGAACTGTGAGTAGGAACTATCTTTTTCTAAAGAATGAACAACGTACTCCACCATTGATCATTTCTACCTTTATCACTTGTTAATGACTTGATGAGTATGCTATTAATGCACGAAAGATAATGGAAACTGTGAGTTATTAGCTAAACTAATTTTTATCGTATAATGTATGACTATGGTTGAATCAAAACGTTGATAGAAAATTAGATGAAATTACTTTTTAAAATTTTAATTTGGTTCGAACAAATGTCAATTTAATTAGAAAAATTACAATTTGTTTTTCAAAAATTCAATTTAATTTTGAAAAAATCTAATTATTTTAAGGAGAAATTCAATCTTATTTGGTAAAATTTCATTTTGATTTGGAAAAAGTCCAATTTGATTAAAGGAAGTTTGATTTTATTTAAGACAAGTTCGATTTGATTTAGAAAAAGTTCAATTTACATTCTGAAAAGTCCAATTACCTTTAGGAAAAAATCAATTTTCGAATAAAATTTCATTTTGATCTGATACGTTTATTTTTATTTGGAAAAAGTTCTAATTGATTTTCGAAAAACAATTAATTTAAACAAGTTAAGTTTTTGTGTAAAAATTAAATTTGATTGAAAATAATCCTTTTGATTTGGAAAAAGTTCGATACGTTTTAAGAAAAGTGCTATTGGATTAGGAAAATGTTCAAATTTTTATTAGAAAAAATCGCAATTTGATTTAGGGAAAGACCTAAAATTCTTTTTGATTTGGAAAAAGTTCGATTTGATTTAAGAAATCCCATTTCCTTATGGAAACGTTCAATTTGACTTGAGAAAAATACAATTTAACTGAAGCAGAGTTCTATATGTTGATTTGTAAACCTCAATAGAATTTGGAAAAAGTACAATTCGATAAGGGAAATGTCCAGTTTTTGATTTTGGAAAAGTTTAATTTTATTTAATAAAAGTTATTTTTGATTTGGAAAAAGTTCAATTTGATCAGGAATAATTCGGTTTAATTTGGAAAAAGTTGTTGTATTTGAAAAGCAAGTACGATTTAATTAGAAGTTTTTGAATTTAACTAAGTTTAATAAAAAAAAACCTATGATTTAATTAGAAAAATAAATGGTTTGGTTTAATAAAAAGTTCAGTTTGATTTAATAATAGTCGTTCGCGCCCTTTGCGATCCCATGAAGGGATCAAGTCAGCTGATTTGTACCAGTTGTGCATGTCACTTCTCCCTTCATTAACTTAACATAAGTTTGGAAAAAGTTCAGTGTGATAAAGGAAAAGTTTGATTTGATAATGGTTCATTTTGGTTTGGAAAAAGTTAAATTTGACCTGGAAACGTTCGATTTTATTTTGGCTGAATTGAATTCGAATTCTTCTTACTTTTTCCTAAATGAATTTAAACTTTTCCTTTGCTAATTCAGTTTTACAGTTATGTATTTTATTCGACTTCTTCAACTAAATCATGGACTTTTCACTGCCACAAATAAACATTAATTGTTTGGAGAAGTTCAATAAAACAACTAACCAAAATCAATAAAACAACCAAAGAATACTAGGAGATTTGCTGGTAATCCAATTTTATTTAGTTCACATTAATATTTAAATTTGTTTTGAAATATGTTCAAGTAGACTTGAGAGATATATCAAAAATTTATCTTGGGACCGTCGACCGAGTAGTATAGAATGAGCTAACGTTCCCCTGCCTGTCGAATTTCGGATTTCGCCATGCCTTTCCAAAATTTTGTAAAAACAAAGAAATCGGCTAATCCCAAATGTCTTTTTGAAGCGAGATTTTAACGAGTTTTTTCTAATTACTTCCAATCGATATCGGAACGCAGTCCCGCCCTCTTCAGAGGTCAAACACTTTTAAATGAAAAGTGTATGTTAATGTGAAGCGATTGCTTCAGAGCACGGAAAAAATTGGTAGCTTGTCAATATTAAGTTAGAACCTTGTTAACGGTTTGCGCCTAAGTCAACAGACAACAAAAAGAGCCCATTCCTCCTCCGTACTAATGGGAGAGTTGTCGGAACACGGCCATCCAAGGAAACCCAACACCGGCAAATATCTCGAGAGGATCCACTTTTTTTTTCCCTCGGATCTGTACATTTTTTTCGTAAAGCGTGTCGGATGTAGGTAAAATTGGTATCTTCTTTTGCCCTTGTGAGGGTATACAGGGCGACGAATCCAGTAACAAGATGATTCCAAGGAATCTTTAAAATCATCACCATTGTTTGGCACGCTAAAGTTGTTCAGAATACGTATCATTGTCATTGATTTTATTTAATTAACCTTGATTAATAAATCTGTGCGTACTACAATAACAAAAATGCTAAATATAAATAAATTTGATTCTATGTTGGCATACAAAATGAGTTTTCAAAAGCAAACATCTTGGCAAACAAATCGAATCTTTTCCAAATAAAATTGAAATTTTTAAAATTGAGTTGAACTTGTACTACTCAAATAGGAATTTTTTCAATCAAATCATTCTCAGCTTACAAATAAGTCTCTAACGTTTTTGAATAAATCAATTTTTATTCCTCTTGTGTTTCGAAACAATTATTTTGTAATATATAGTAAATCCATTATATTTCGTGGTCCGATTGTCCAAATAACTTCTTTCAATTAATTAATCTTTATGTAAGGTATTGGTTGAAATGAAAAAAGCTAGTGTTAGTACCGGGATCCGAACCAGCGATCTTCGGCTAAATACGCCGCTGCTCTACCACTTAAGCTATCGTACTTCGATCCACTCGGACACCAACTTCCCATCTCAACCCGACCTTTCAAGTTTTCTCTCCTTTTTGCCATTTTTCAAATGTCATGTAATCAATCTATTTGATTCTCGGCCACAAATGAAATGGCGGCGAAGAGCTTTATTGAAGATATACTTCGTTTTACTTATTAAATCCATTATATTTTCGTGGTTGACCAAATAACTTCTTTTAATTAATTAATCTGTATGTAAGGTTGATTCAGATGAGAGGTTGGTGCCCGATAGCTCAAGTGGTTAAAGCAGCGCGTATATAGCCGAAGGTCGTGGGTTCAAATCCCGTTCGTGACACTAGTTTTTTCATTTCAACCAATACCTTACATAAAGATTAATTAATTGAAAGGAATTATGTTTAGTGTTCACACTCTGAAAAAAGATTAGGTGTTTAATTTGTCGAAATTTTTCGCATTTAAACGAGTTTGGTTGTAAGGGAACTCCTTGTTTGACTACTTTCTTCAATTTGATGTAATGTCATTTATTTTCTTTCGCTGGAGTACATGTACCCGATTAACTGGATGTATTCTTCTTCCACATGTGCCTCTCTGAGTGGCCGAGTAAAGGTATTCATGACACTATCAAAAGTTTATTCTATAAAGGCTATGTTTTGATTGTATTCCCCATTCTTTTTCATAATTTGATTCC